TTGTCCACTTCTTGGAGACTCAGTGAAGCTGGAAAGATAAAAGATTATAATGCTGTGTTCCGAGAATGGTTGCAATGCGGAATAATTGAAGATTGTTCAGAAGGGCCAGGTCACTATTTGCCACATCATGCAGTGTTCAAACCAACTTCCACTACCACACCTGTTAGATCCGTTTCTGACGCCTCGTGCAAGTCGAAGGGAAATATTTCGTTAAATGACTGACTGCTTAATGAAAGGTCCAATTTGCTCGAAGACATCCCAACTGCTCTTCTTAGATTCAGACAGAAAAAAATTGGAGTTGTTGCTGACATTATGAAGGCGGTTTTGCAAATTTCATTAGCAGAAGAGGATCGCAAGTATTTGAAAATTCTTATGGTGGGCAGATGAAGAAAAAAAGACTATTAAGGTATACCAACATTGCAGAGTTGTTTTTGGACTTAATTGTAGTCCGTTTTTGCTGGGTGCTGTTTTAAGACATCATTTAGATTCATTTGCATTTTCTCCATATCAAGATGTTTCAGAGACATTTAAATCTGCTTACTATGTGGATAACTGTGTTACTTCAGTTAATTCTGAAAATGAATTACAAAGATTTGTAAAAGTGTCTACAGAGATCATGGCCAAAGGAAAGTTCGAGTTGAGAGGATGGGAATATTCTGCTGTTAAACGTTCAAGTGTTCCTATGGTCCCATCACAAGTTTTATGTTTTCTATGGGACAAGAATGAAGATGTTATTTTTTGTGATACTCAATCCATTTCAAACCATCCGGAAAACATAACTAGAAGGTCTATTCCTTCCATGGCTCAGCAAGTATTCGATCCGCTTGGATTCTCATGCCCAGCTACGTTGTATCCTAAGTTACTATTACAAGAGAGTTGGAGGTCTGAATTAGGCTGGGATACTGAGGTTTGTGAAGATACAAAACTCAAAGTTCGAAATTGGATTAGAGAAATGAGGAAACTGAAAGATTTAAAAATTAGAAGACAAGTGTTTCCTGATAATTATTTGGAGTCAGAATTACATACCTTTTGCAATTCAAGTGGTTTATCTTACGCTGCTGTAGTTTACTTGAGATGTAAGACAGATGAAAATATTTCGGTACAATTATTGATGGCTAAATCCAGAGGGGCACCATTAAAGAAGATTTCTATACCCAGGTTAGAGCTTTTAGCCTGCTGTATGGGCACACGTTTGGCTGATTTAGTACGGAGAAGCTTGAATATAACCCTCAAAGAATTCTTTTGAACGGACTCAACTACTACGTTGCAGTGGATTCAAAGAGAAGAGTCCTGGGGTGTGTTTGTGAGGAACAGAGTCAAGGAAATCCTTAAGGCATCCACAGAAGAGAGCTGGAGACACATTCCAGGTGATTCCAACCCCGCGGATCTACCTTCCTGGGGGTGTTCTGTGGAAAAGCTTATAAAATCTAGATGGTGGGAGGAGCCACATTGGTTCCGAACTTCGGTAGGATGTTGGCCAAGTACAGAGTTGAGAACAAATGAGGAAGAAGTACGCCTAGAAATACACAACTGTTCAACACTTCAGATAAAAAATCTTCACTGCTTTCGGTAAGTAATACCGAAAGCAGTGAAGATTTTTTATCTTATTTCTCAACTTATACCAGAATTATACGCATGATGGCATGAATATTAAGATTTATTCACAACTCAAGAGACAAAACCAATTTTCGAAAGGAAGAATTATCAGTAAAGGAATTAGATGAAGCTGAAAGGGTCCTCATAAAAAGAGTGCAAGGTGAAGTATTTACTCCGCAATTTATCAATAGTTTGAAGACTTTAAACGTTTTTACAGATGAAAATGGAATTTATAGAGTAAAGACGAAATTAACTGACAGGAAAGATACTGATTTGTTAAGATACCCTTATCTTCTTCCCAGTAAACACAAATTTGTAGAAGTATTGATTCCAGAAAACCATTTGGAACTTATGCATGCTTGATTACAAACTGTTCTATCTAACTTAAGGGAGAAATTTTGGGTTCTATGTGGAAGACGATCTGTTCGCCACGTAATTAATAAGTGTATTAAGTGTAGAAGGCACACTGTGAAGCCTGTTGAAACCGCTCCAATTTCCTTACCAGAAGATCGTGCCAAGGACGCTTCAGTTTTTGAAATTGTAGGAGTAGACTTGGCTGGTCCTTTGATATTGAAAGGTGGACAAAAGAGCTGGCTTGTGCTTTTCACGTGTGCGGTGTTCAGAGCTGTACACTTAGAATTGGTCAGTTCGTTGTCTACCAAAGACTTCTTACTCTGTTCACGAAGATTCATCGCTCGTCGAGGACGACAGAGTGTTGTATACAGTGACAACGGAACAAATTTTGTAGGAGCGGAAAACCTTTTCCGAAGCATTGATTGGAGTGTTGTCGAATCAGAAACAACAGTTAAAAGAATTGTGTGGAAATTTATCCCGCCCTCCGCCGGCTGGTGGGGAGGGTTTTGGGAGCGCATGGTACAAATGGTCAAAAAACTCTTGCGAAGAGTTTTGGGAAATGCCTCACCTAATTATGAAGAGTTAATGAGCCTTCTCTGTGAATGCGAGACAGTAATTAATTCAAGACCTTTATCTTATATTTTCGAAGATAGAGATGATTTGATACCACTGGCACCGGCAATGTTCTTACAAGAAATACGATCGGTGGGAGTACCCGATATTGATCAAATAGATTTGAAGAAAAGATGAAGATTTCAGCAATTTCTTAGACTACAACTTAAGAAAAGATTCAGAATTGAATATCTCGGACTGTTAAAGCAAAGTAAAGAGAGGCCAAATTGTTTTAAACTAAGCATTGGAGACGTCGTCATTATCGAAAATGACTCCATAAAAGGAACTCTGTTGCCACTGGCTAAAGTGATGGAAGTTTATCCTGGTAAAGATGGAAAGGTTCGAGTAGTGAAATTAAAGACATCTTCTGGAGAATTGCTGAGACCTGTCCAACGTCTTTATCCGTTGGAAATAAGTTCTGGTGGCGAATCTACTGTTAAACCATCAGAGACACAAAAATCACTTTCAGCTGATAAACTAGAAAAAGATATTACGACCAGAAGTGCTCTGGTGATTAAGAAACCTATTAGATATTTAGATGACTGAAAGAAAACATTCATTTTTAAGCTTACGTATTAGAGTTTCAATGCTTATTTTGGAAATGTTTCTTTTTACCCTCAGATATAGTATATAATGCATTTAGTAATTTTATATGTAGTTAAAATTTATACTTTTTGCTTGTTTATGCATTTTTAGGAAATGTTCTAGTTGATTAAATAATATTTAATCAAGGTGGGAGGATGTCGCGTAATAACGTTTGTAATGACGTCATCGTTTATAATCTGTAATATTTTATTCATTAGTTTAATACTTATATGAATTCGAATGGCAACAGTTTATCAGTTTATGTTTTCATGGAGATTGTTAAGAATAGATGTGGATCACTTTTTATAACTTGTAAATCTTGTAATAAAGGTTCATAGAAAATTAGTAGGAGTTTTACGATGCATCTGACACCCTCCCTAATTTGGGCTCCTGGGGGGAATAAAACTCCATTCAGTTTTTTCTTCGCCAAAAAATGCAAATAATGATTCCTCTCGATCACTTACCATCTTAAACAAACAATTAAGTTCTTTATTAGCCCCTACCATGTTAGTTCCGTTGTCTGAAAAGATTTTACGACATTTACTCCTTCAGGCAATGAATCGTTTAAGCGTCGCTATGAGAGCTTGCGAAGTCAAGTCGCTGATTGACTCAAGGCCTTTGTTACTAAACAGATGAATATACAAACGTAGATTTTATTTTCAGGACTTGATATTTATTTTTTAATAAAGAATGGTCCGCATAAATCTATTCCAGTAGAACTTTATCAGGTATTATTCTTTCTTATGGCAAATTACCCATTTTTTGATTATACTCCTTAGGATTTGCTTTAAAGCATACTACGCAACTGTGCACGATTTTTTTGCACGAATTCCTACCATAAATGGGCCAATATTTTTGTCTAACCTGATAAAGTAGATGATGCACATGAAGATTGAACAATTATCTTCATGAACGATTATATCTTCATGAACGATAGTATCTTCATGAACGATTATTTCAGTTAACTTACATTTAGAAGGCAGTAAAACGAGATGTTTACTCGAGTACGATAATTGAGAATTTTCTAGTCTGCCTTCCACTCTCAATAACCCTTCTTCATATAGAATAGGTGATAGATTAAAGATCTTACTTTTATTAGAAACGCTACCTCCCGACTTTAGAGCAGCTAATTCTCTTGGAAACTCTTGCTCCTGCAAGCAGCGAATTAGATAGTTTTCAGCTTTAGATAATTCATCCAGTTTCAGAAGACCAAGAATCCTTTTCTCTGGATTTCTCAAGCTATGAATGTACCTGAAAAGATAACTACAAATTCGAACTATACTTAAAAATCTATTGCTACGATTAATCAGATTATCAAAAAAAGTTTTGTCATGATTTAAAGTCAAGACTATAGTTTTTACTGAGTTTTTGGATTTTAGTTCATGTAAATATTCTTCTTCATTTGGCACTGGACAATCAAGTTCACTCACAAGTTCATCGGACAACAAAAATGAAGGACCATGCCGCCACTTTTTGCTGTGTAGAAGCGACTCTGCACTGAGACCTCTTGTCAACTAGGCCTCTTGCCAGGTCATGCCTAATACCTTAGCATTATTAGTTCCTAAGTTTATAGGAATATCGACTGGATAAGTGTCAAAGGCTTCTTCTGACCACTGACTCCTCAAGGCGGAGTCGTTGCTAATCCATTTTCTCATTTCCATTCCAGCTTCCTTCATGATTTTCTTCGCACTTCGGGAAATTATAAGTGCGTCTTCTCGGGTATCTTGACCTGTGATCCAGTTATCTACGCACATGTAAGAATCTAGAAGATGTACAGTCATAGGATATTCCTCTCTGTATTTTTTAATGTGATGTTTAATGTTGGCCGCTGGTTGGAAAGGGCTAGTGTTCAGTCAGAAAAGTAATCTCTTGAAACAATAAATTCGAAGTTTTGGTTTTGAGCCTAAACGAGGATCACTGTCTGTCCACAGAAATCGTACTGTATCCTTTTGTTTATCCGCAATGTAAATTTGCAAAAAAGCCTGACGAATATCTGATGAAATAGCCACTCGGCTTAGTCTAAAGTAGATAAGTATTTTGAAAAGGTTAGGGTAAAGGTTTGGACCTGGCCATAAACAGTCATTCAATGAAAGTTCGTCCACCAGGTGAGATGCTGCGTCAAACACTATTCGAGTTGAAGTTGTAACACGACCTTCCTTTTTAATGGCCTGATGTGGTAAATAGAACAAGGATCTATCAAAGTTTGATTCAGAAATCTCTACTTCTTCGATTATTCCTTGATCTAAATAGTCCCGAATGATATTTTGGTACTGAGAATATAGTTCTTTATCGAACCGCAATCTTCTCCACAAATTACGAAATCGTTGTCTTGCAGCGCAAACGTTATTCGATAATTCTTTCCAGAGTTTACGGAATGGCAGTTCAACTATATATCGACCATCTTTATATTGTACAGTTTGTTCAAAAATGTTCATGGCTTGATCTTCTTCTCGAAGACAAGGGTCGTCTTTTATGCCGAGAGATTCAAGTTCAAAAAAGCGTTTTAAGGTATCGTCTATAGAATCATTGTTTTTAAGAAGAAAGCACGAATTTTCATTATTAAATTTTATCTCATCGAGTCGCCCACTCGCGATCCATCGGAACTCCGTTTCTTTTAACACAACTCTTCATTTACTTTATAAACGTTATCCTTAATTATTCTAAAAAATCATCAGCATTTAATAAAGAGTGAACTTCTTCCACTTCAAAAAATGAAGGATCCGCTAATTAAAAAAAACTCGGGTATTTTCGTTTTCGATATGTCTAAACTGACATTTGGAGTCAGACCCGTAATTTAATCTGCGAGTAAGAATTCAATCGGTTCTTTAAAACTACCACTTTTATTTGAAATGATAGTACGCAATTTTCCTTTCAGGTTTTGTTTAGTCGAATTAAGTCCAGCCACGGATGTTTGGATTTTGGATTCTTTCTAATTTAATCCCAAGAATTTCACTTGTCTTCTTACTCAATATATTAACATTTGATGCTGGATCGAAAATAACTCTACATTTAATTAATGACCTATCCCTTTTTTGCAAGGGAATATTTCCAGTAGATAATAAAACATTCTTTTTATTTTCATTAGAAGTATTATTTAAAACCGCATTATGAAGAGAATTCATTTCCGCAGTGGAACTTTTATTTTCTGTTTTTATTTCTGATCCTTAGAATGCTGAGTCAGCTATTTGATTTTCTGACGCCAGCTGTTTTCTTTTCTCAGCGACAGGTCGTCTGAAACATAATGTATTCGAATGGCGTTGACCACAATTACATACATAACACGATTTACATTCCCATTTTTTTATGATTTTTTTCAAACAAATTTTACATAGTTTATGATAGTTCAAATCTTTTGTTAATTTTAAAAATTGATCGCAGCGAAATATGGGATGTGATTCTTTCAAACAAATTGCACAGTTTTTATTCTCTATATTTTCATTCTTTTAAATGGGAAATTAGTTGTTTTCTTAATTGTTTTCGTTTCTGAATAACAATTTCGATTTACCGATAAGAGTTCTCGTTGTTCTAAAAATGTAATAAATTGTTCGTATGACGAAACTTCTTTTGTTTTTTGTATTAATTCCAAGTTCTTTTGAGTTTCTTTTTCTAATTTGTTAAGCATTATGTTTTGAAGAAAAATGTTAACTAAATCGTTTCGTTCATATTTTAACGCTTTTAAAGCTCGTAAATTCTTTTGAATGCAATCTATCATTGCACGAATTTCTGTAGCATTTTCACGTTCTATATTTTTAAAATTTAGGATGGAATTTACATGCACATCAACGATTAACCTTTTATTATCGTAACGTGAATCGAGGGCTTCATATAATGAAGAAAATGTGTCAAATGAGGAAGCAAATTCTTTTACTTCATTTGAGAGACATGAGTTAAAATAATAAAGTTTTTGCTACTGAGTGAGTTGATCATTAGAGGTGATGAAGTCATCAAACTGGTTTTTAAAGTTACTATAGTGTTCATATCTTCCCGAGAATGTTGGGAGTATAATAGGTGGAATTTTTGTGTCAGTTATATTCTCAGTTCGATTAATTTGTTTAACATCGTTTACAGTTGATACAGTTTCTTTTTTAAATTCAATTAAAAGTTTGAGGCTTACCTCTAAATCTTTTAGACGAGATTCACGTTGTTCGATTTCTTTTTTGAATTCTTCCAATTCTTGATCAGTGATTTTTTTCAAGATCGAAGGAATGCACTTTTAATTCATCAATCTTAGTTTGTAATTGTTCGACTTTTTTTCAATTTCACTTCAAGTATGGTAGTATTAGGAATATCTTCAGATATACCATCGACAAAGGTTTCGATTCGAGTACTATTTCCTTTCAAGGAAATTTTTGCTTTAATTAGTTTCGCTATTTTATCCATAGTTGTATTTTGATTCGAGCGCTCCGTGTGCTCGACGTGTCAGACAATGTCGGCCTAAAACCAACACGCTTGATATTTTAGTAAATCACGACGGACCACTATCTGCACTTTTTGGTTCTTATTAATAACAATAACATTAGGTATAAAGACAACAACAGCTGGAGATATTGTGGATTTCGAAAGTGTACAAGTGATTATCCACATCCAATGTTTTTCCAGTCTCACAGGAGAATAATAATTTTCCCTCTTTTTCTCGTTACGCTAGGGAATGAGGCCCATGAGCCGACATATATATATATATATATATATATATGTCGATTGTCATTTGATTGTCATTTTTTGACACATTTTAGATCCTTGATTGGATATAATTTTTTTAGACAGATAAACTCGGCTCGTTTCGGTACTTCTCGGCACAAACTCAGTTAGAGAAAGTCCACGTGAAATTAGCTACACTGGATTTTCCTTTTCAGGACAATGATATCCTTGTGTTGAGCTAGTATACTCGTAAAATTCTTTCACCTACAAAGCTTCAAATATTCCTTACGAACCTTTATTTTAAAAACAAGATCTAGATTATACCATCCGAAACACATTAAAGATCTGATTTCTTTTTTGTTGTTTCATCTAATTTACAATATAGGTCCCGTGAGTTCGAGTTTTGGAATGATAATGTTTTAAATGAGCTATTCTTTCTTCCGATGCAACAAAAATAATAATGATATCATTGTTTTTAAATTTATTCTCAAATAAACTAATTCAACTTAAATGAGTTTTTTGCTGTATGAATTTTGAGTAACTGAATGTTCGCTACTTTTTTATTTAGAGAATACGCACATCGATGCTTAATTATTCCATTAATGTCCTTATGGCGTTACAAAACAGCTTTCGGCAAGCTGTTATGCCTAAAAGCAAAAATTCTTTGATGCATCAAGCAGTTATATGAATTGGAATTAAATATTTGACTCGTAATTGTTTAGTTTGTAACTCTTTTGTTTCATTACTTTTAAATAAGAATTTTTCAATACTTTCTACAGCAAAATAAAAAATATAATGTTTGGACACAGAAATTTTGAAAATATTAAAATTTTATTGAAAATCTTCTTAAAGTTCAACTCAATTTCAAATGTAAGTTCTTTTAATTTGTATTTAACAGCTTTAAATTTTTTTTTCTTACTTTTCTTTAGCACATGCTGGATTTTTTTCAAAAAATATCATAGCTTAGTGAGTATGTGGTAAGTGCTTCATCTACTGTTTTTTCACAAAATGCATGGCAATCAGCAAAGAATGAATCATGTAATAAATTAGAACTGTGAGAGAAGATACCTCTTTAGATAATGTTTTATCTTGGCTTTTGAAGAACAAGACTTGAGGCTACTGCAAAGAGTACTCGTATCATTCTGCATACTTGTAGATTCGTGTTTTCTGTCGAGTAGCTTTCACTCCAGAGGAATCTTGGATTGTCACCTTTATAGATTTCTATTTGCGAGGCTTGATATATGCAGTGATTGCTATTAGCTTCATTTGAAATTTTACTAAGAAATAAATAAAAATATCAATTTATAAGCTAAAACTAGCATTTGAACCTTTGTATAAATTTTGTTTTCACATGCGTCAAAAAAGTCGCGCAAACCAGATGTACAGTCCCTGGCTGAATTATTCGAAGCACTATAAAATCCTATTTAAAATCTTAAATATCAGGTGATACTATACAGTTTTATTGTTTTTACGCGACTGAAATCGGTTTGCACTTTCTTACGTTCGTGCATCAATTGATTAAATTAGACGATATATAATATAAATTCGACCATTGGATAAATTAGACGATATATTATATAAATATTTTATTATATTAGGTATTATATTAATATATTATAATAATTAGACCACATTATTAGACGCACTGTAGTGTTTTAATAATTGCATGTTTTGTACGAGTTTATATGCAATACTTTTATACTTAAACATACTTTTATACTTAAACATGCATTTATAAACTTCCTATTTGTATTTATCTATAACGTATTGCATTACAATGTTAACCAATTGATATACGAAATTAAACAAGTGTAAACCAGTTTCAGCCACGTCAAAACAATAAGGCTGTATAGTGATAATTAAATTTTTACATGAAATCTTATTGTGTGTCTAATAATTTGACTATATACTCATCAGCTTTTTCTACCACTGCGTATGCGGCAGGTAGAAGCAGTTTTCTTTTCAAACATGTTTTCACTACGATAATCAGCCAAAACCTTTTAGTATTCTAAGAAGAAAATCATCGTTTTAAACTTTGTAAAGTGCCTTCTAATGAAAACTTCGAACATTTGAGGAACTTGAATATATATCTATGAATAGAATCACTTCTTTAAAATCTCTCATTATCTATCCTTTAAAGTCGGTACTCTTCTGATTCCAATACTTTCGAGAATTCTTTCAAGCGATTAAAAAGGGTCTTCTCTTCATCTATGATTTTCGTTTTTAATAGTTCATTGTTGACACACCCTTATTTCAGAAAGCATCAACGTGATATTGTTTTTAAAGTTTATTATATATTTCTTTATCATTTACAATGTTAAAGTACAAATCTGATATAACTAGTTTTCTTTCTTTAAAATCACACTAATTTAAATATTTATGTTTTTAGAATTATCAAAATCAGGGTTTAGTGTGCTAGTAGCTGAAATTTCACTTCAATACACTTACTTAGCGAAGGCTATCTTATAAGTAGAATTTTTTTGGCTACTTTGCTAACCCTTAATGCATAAATTGCAAATTTTTAGATGATCAAAAAATATTATTTACATTTTTTAAGAACTGCGATGCTTTCTGATTGACCCATTGTCTAATAAAATGTAACTTTTTTCCTTTATTTGGGGGAAGGATAAAATATCAATGCAAGGACTTATTTCATTCGGTAATTTATGAATTTCCTTATCAAAAAAGATAAGTTATTATACTTGCCTAGAACAAGGGTACCCGGAAAAATTCTTGATCCGTCGTCGTGAAGATGTTCTCCTCAGGCTGATTCACATTCCGACTGAGCGGCCCGGCC